GCCCTTTCTCGAGTAGGAACCTCTTCATGCGATTAATCATGGGGACTTGGATGGCCTCGTGATTGAACTGCTCAATATATGCCCGAAAGGGCACGCCATTTCCTTAGATGATGGCCTCGAGGGACGCCTGTTTTGGGGTGTCGTCGAGAGGCAGTGAAGTTTCTGCTAAATTGAGTTTTTAGGACCCTCCACGAAGTAATTGACTTTGAGGCGAGGCTTTTGTACCATGCCATGTCGCCTTTCCTCGGAGTCATGGGGAATAGCCTACACCTGATTGCTCCCCCGACATTGTGGTAGTCGAGAATCGCTTTGAAGCCTTCAGTGTGATCACCGGGGTCTGAAGCGCCATCGTAAGTAGCCAAGGGTAGTGGCTTCTCCATCTCGGTGGGAATTGGAGTCTCTATGATCGCTCGGGATAGTGGACCGTGGGGGTCATCTTCGTCGCTTGGGTCAGGGGAACGGGACGGGGAGGAGTCGAACTAAGGGCCTCTAAGGTGCGGTGGACTCTTATGTTTCTCTAGACGCCTGTCGAAAGCCCCTTCTCGGAGGGCGAAAGCCCCTTCTCTTAGGGAGCAGGATGACTCCGTGATATTCAGAAAAACGTTGGCCACGTACAGTGTCAAGCATGCGGAGGAAGTGTCCTCGACATGCGTGTGATGATGAGCAGGTCCTCGACGAGCATACGTAGGGGACGTTCTTGACATGCACGTGTTGAGGAGCAGGTCATCGACAAGCATGCGTAGGAGACGTTCCCCAATGATTTTAATAACGTGAGCCACAATAATGAGTCTTCTTCGTAGCAGAGTTGGGCTGGGTATTGACCGATGGTAGATTATGGGCGGACCCAGTCCAGAACAATTATCAACCATTTTACATATAATAAACCACGAACCCTATCATAATCAAAGAACTCAAACACAGACGACAGACATGCAAAATCAAACAAACTAAAAAAATGAGGACAAAATATGAAGTGCACTTCCGTAATTCAGAAAAATCAAATTCAAGAAAAATACGAAAGTGCACTTCTGTAAAACCTAAAACTCAACAATGACAGAAAGCACATAAGCCCAACACACACTATGGTATAAACATAAAAAAGTATCAAGACATGCCTCAACAAACTACCTATTATGAGTGTAACCACAACATAATGTATCTTAAACAATCTATTTAAGTAATATATACATAAATCAAAAAAGGAAAGAAAATGAAAATAACTCACTAAATGTGAGAAGTGAAAGCTCTTGAATTAAATAAAATGGAGTAGAGATTGAATTTTTTTTAGACTAAACACAATGTCCTAGAAGTTATAAGAAATATTGAAAAATATGGAAATGGAGTTTTTCACGAGCTTTTTTCATTCAGAGTAATTTTTGATAGAAATGAAGAAAAAGAGGTTTGACAAGATAATATAATAATGCGGCCGGAGATATACTTCTATAAATTAGTACTAATTAATGACAAAATGTGAATGACTTACTTATAAAATGGTGTGATATAGAATTTTCAATGCATCTAAATAAAGTGCATCTCCGTATGTATGATTTTTAATCAAACTATGCCAACACTACTAAATGTGTGTTTGGAAACAATATTTTTACGGTGAAAAAACATACGTCTACTAAAAGATGTGAAAAAACATACGTCTACTAAAAGATTCAATTAGCAGCTTCTCAATAGCCACGGCAGAATTCAATTGCACCGTAATTTTATTGAGTGACACGTGATTCTAAACCTAGCATAAAATTCATTGAACAATAGAAAAAAAAATGAAATCCTTTAAAAACAAACCAATAATTAGTTAGGGGAACAAATGCTGCAAACCCCCTATGACCCCACACCGTTTTATTTAACCAATTCTTGTAACTGTTACTCTAGATATTTTCATTCTTCCATTTCGCTCTCTTTCTCTCTCCTTCTTCTAGCGCTTTCTTATATTTTTCTATTCCTTTCTTTCTCGAAGCTTCATCATTCAATGGCGGATTCCTCTTTCATGTAACGATTATCCATTGTTTCCACTTTCCATCGTTCAACAGAACCGAATTTCCATCATCCAGATCCATCATCGCTGAGAAACGGCGAGAAAGTAAAGGTAAAAGTTAAAACCAAAGAAAAACAAGAAACGCTGATCTTATTGCATGTAACCGAAATCATAGAGAAAGCTATTGTAGAAGTTTTTACATCTTTTAGATGCAATTTAGTGTGTAGAAGAGTTGTTTTAGTTTAGTTTTTTTGTATATCGATTTTTGGATTTAGCATTATCGTGGCATCACGGTGCTTGTTCTAATCGTACACTTAGCAGTTTATTTTATTGTTATATTTAGGTTACTTTTGCGATGGTTTTTCAATGGAGAATTTGCGTTTGGATCTCAGGTAATGTGAAAATGAATTTGCAAGTGCTGTGTGTACTAATTTTTTTTTTAGTTTTTTTTTTTATTATGCAACTTTTCTACTGTTTTAATTCAGTAAAATGTACTTTGTTAGTTTTGGTTTTATTGAATAACCAATAAACAATTAATCCTAAACTTTATGTTTAATCAATCTTTCGTCGATTCGGCTGTGTTATGTTAATTTGAATATCTCTAATATGATAATTTGAATAACAAATTCAATTGACATTTCCATAGAAAGAACTTTTTCCTCGATAAAGTGATAGTCATATACATATACGGTTGGTCTATTCATGCAAAATTGGATTTGATGTAATATGTAGAATAGATTGATTATGATGATCAACACACCGAAACTTAAACCAATCAAGTAATATAAGTTCACTAGTGATTGTTGTTGGAAGTTGATACTCGACCTTTGTATTGGATCAAACAACCACATTTTTCCTTTTGGATAGGTGAACTAGCGTAATCTGAATCTGAGTACCCCACACCTTAGTATTTAGTTTGTATTGGTTTGGATAATCTGAAGCATTCTCAGTGATAAGCATGTGGAGATTGCATGAATTGACTTCTACTAGTAAATGAAAAGGTTTTCCCAAGTATCTAATTGAAAAGTGAGTGAATAGATGTTTTTCAAATTCACATAAATATGCATTGCCTTGTGTTTTCAAGACAATCATTCAAGTGAGTTTCAAAGTTCGATTCAAAGCACCCTAGTTTTGTAGGTTTACCCGCCCCGCCCAAGGATCTAACCCTAGTTTAAAAGAGATTTGTTGCTGTATGTCCAAAGGGACACCATTGTTTAAACTTGAGGTCGACAATTGATGATGATCCACTTGAGCACCAGTGCTAAACTTCATCTCATGCTGGTTACATTAGTATGCTGGTTCCGAAACCACCTTGTCATCAATTCATTGTGCACATTATCTCATGTGACTCATTGACCATTTCTTTAACCTTTGAAATCATTTCTTGCTCGTGGATCCCATTTTTTAGGTGTATTGCATGGGGTTTTCTTGTCACATTTCGAGTTGTTTGGTCTGTGTTAACGAGTTCCAGGTTTGATTGGTTAAGTTTCTCGTCATGATTTGTCTTTTGTTGTAGCCTATTCTTCTACAGTGGTATTTCTTATTCCTTTTGGTGACTTGCTTGCCCTTCTTAAATGTGAACACTACACTTGTTTTAATTTTTTAAGCTACCAACAGTTGTATCCTTCCTGTAATGCCTTTGTCCTAGCGATATCCTTTATTAGAAGCATTATCCTATCCAAGGCGGCAAAGTGCAATGATTGATGAGACACTTACTCTTGGGTAATCATACACGAGCTTTAGCGCCACATTCCTTGGGGGAAATCTACGGTTGGTTGTAGACGAGTCTTTATTGATGTAGTGTATCCTATCCTGGTGGAAAGATGGAGTGGGGAGGCCTTGTTTTCTTCTCAGTACTTTACATTGATAGTTTCGTTTTGTGGTAGTTTGCTTACAATTACAAATTCTACTTGCTAATATTCCTTCCTCTTATTTAATGTAATTTAGAATGACAATGCTCATTTGTTTGGTAGTTGCCATGATTGTAAATATTTGGTTCTGATTCTGAAACCCGAATTGCTATGATTGTAAAGTTTTAATGCAAGTTTATTTTATTTTTCGTAAATTGAGTTGCGTATGGTTTTGTTCCATATACTTTTTATTCTTTCATACTGATCTGTCGGCTGTGCTGTATCCCTTTTATATTTTAAACTGTTGGTGAGCTACATTGCTTTAGTGCAATGCTATAGGCTTTTATTTTCAGTTTCCCCGCCCCCCTTCTAAATGTAAATGCTATTAAGTCAAGACGTCCAAACTGGTGGGCAATGTAACCATTCATTTTTTTAATTGTAAGTGAAAAATTTAGGTAGGGATTTTGTCACTATTTAAAGTTTATGTTAATAGTTTTATGCTAATAGTTTTATGCATTGGTGTTTAGATTCATTTTGCTGGAATCTTTATATTCTCTATGCACTGATTTGCGCAATATGCCCAATATGTTACCAACATCGTGGATGCTTTAATTATGCCAGCTTTTCACCAGTTTGAAGGAAGTAATAGTTTTTAAACACTAATAAAATGGATTAAACATCTTGTTGGAATTTCCGCCTTCATTGTGGTCCGTCCCTAGTCGCCTAAATTGCGGCATTTGTCTTGCCTTCATTGCAGGATCCAACACCTTCATTGTGTTGGGTTTGAAGGGATGGATTTAGTCCCACATTGCTTAGAGATATGACATGTGTTGTGGTTATAAATTGGGGCAATCCTCACCTTACAAGTCGGTTTTGTATGGTTGAGTTAGACACAACCTACACATTCTAAGACATCTGTTGATTTTGGAGAATTTCTTTGTGTTGAGTCTTTGGCTCCCCAGAGATGCTTCATTGTTCACCACATACATTCATAGGCCTTTTTTTTCGTTTGCTGTTCATAATTTCAATTTTCATAATTTCAAATTAAAATCTTTTAACGTAAATGGTTTGTGGCCTATATGCCACACCACATTCACATATCTAATTCAAACCAGAGTTCATTTTATTTGGTGGCAGGCGAGAAGCACCTATCTCCTGGAAATGCATCAATGCAATTGTAGTCTGCTGAAGCAATCAAAACATTTTGAGGTCAATAGTTTTCTTTTCATGATTAACAGTCTACTAGGTAAATGATCAAAACCATACCCCAGTTTTGTAGTTCCTGAAGCTGCTTGGTAGTGTAGTTGCTGCGGCTGGCTGAGCTGGAGATTCACAGGCACGTGTGAATCGTCTCCTATGCCTAGACTAACCGTGAGAACAGAATTTCTGTTTGTTCCATTCTTATCTTTTGTTCCATAGACCTGGGTTAGTGAAAGTCTCTTTTAGAGTTCAGAAGAATATAGCACCTAATAAGGTTGCCTCATTTAAAATGTTGATAATTTAATTTCTATTGCCATATAAACCAGTATCTTCTTTTTCAATTTCATCTTGTCTTGACAAATTAGGTTTACCTTCTGATACAGCTCTACATTTTCTTGGTGTATGATGTCTCCCTGCAGGATATAAAAACATTTTTTAATTAATGAATAGCTAAGTTTTTAATTTCTCTGTTTCAAGACTGACCTGTCGATTTAGTTCTTGTATTTCATCCATAAAAAGTTGCTCCTGCATAATTCAATTGTTGTCAACTATGGTAACTTTAGAATCAAACTTTGAGTACAGTATTTTTGATGGAAATTGCAAACCTTTTTCACACGAACACCACGAAGACTGATTTCCAATTGGTTCTCCAAACTCTGTAGTTCTTTGACTGTCAAACCTGATAATTCTTCGCCCATTATTTGCCTGTAAAATCATACTAATAATGAAATGTTCGAATGTGAACCTTAAATGACAGTTCATTAAAAGTGTAGTAGGCAATGGATTTATAATCCAAACAGATTCTTCTCTTGTTTTATTATTAGCAAAACATTGTAAGATGTCTTCAGTTTTTTGTATTTTGTAATGATAATCTTACAAACAATTCTTTTGTTTTTCAGGGTTATTACTTCCAGAGGTTAAATACATCTGAAACATTCCTAAAGCCTTATCGGTATCCTTTGAAACTACAATCTTACTCCTGAGGTTTTTCTTCTAAACTCTTTTAAGCCATGAAGTAAACCTCAGCAATTGTCTCATCATAACCTAAACACATCATTTCACCCAAAACACACTTTGTTTCAATGAGAACAAATGTTAAAAACTGATAGTCAGCGTATTTAAATCATCTCATGTTCTTCATTTCCAACTAATCGCTATAATTCAATTTTGTGAGGAAAACTCCATAGGGTGTCTGGTAGCCAAATTAACATATTAGAATTTGGGTTGAGCCCTGCTCAAACATACAGAACTGACTTGTAAAATAAGAGATGGTCACCACACATAAATACTTTTGTAGGTTACATCACATGCAATGTAGAGTCTGAACACCCCCCCCCCCCCCCCCCCCCCCCCCCCGGATGCTCAAGATTGGACATCTAAAGCATGCCTCAATTAGATTAAGCTTGAATACCATATTGAAATTTGGGTTGAGATCTAACTTAATTTTACAAAACTGACTTATAAGACTTGGAATGGTCATATCACCTGTATGTACTTTTTTCAGGTTATATCACCTTTAGTATACGACTCTCAACATGACATAATTTATTGCATAATGTGATAACCTATGTAATATTGTGTATTCTGTGTTAGCTATCAAATATCTGACAGTGTATGAATTTTATCAACTAGCATTGTAAACACAAATTACACAATACAACACACATACCTAACGGTTTTGGTAACTGTAAAGGACCAGTTTTCTGAAAAGCTAAAGTTGTTAGGTATGGCCTCAACATTAGTTTTATGTCTGCTAAAATATATAGAAAACTAGAAAAATTAATCTGAAAAGTGGGTTTCATGTTTCATTATATGCATTAATTATTTCCCTATTCAATTAGAATTTAAGCGCTTGGTATTGTACTGACAGGGGTTAGTGCATTCTATTCTATAAATCATCCTTCATGCAATACCAATATTAACTTAATTTTATCTCAAAGTTATGAAAGAAAGCTCAATATTGGGTTTTCTACATTGAGAACTATTGCTCTAGTATCCTTTGATCTACTCACACGACACACTAACATTGTTCTATCATTGTATTCTTACATTTCAATTAATTGCTACAATCCAATTTGACTTCTCATCTTTTTTCGTTACACCATTGTCGTGTTGATTTTATTAGGATGGTGTTTTTTGAAACCCTAACCAGTATCTCTTACTTCAGTCTTAATTAACTTACGCAGTTAATACTTACTTATGATTCAAGTAAATAGTCTATGTTCGACCTGTTGGCATATTTACTAAGAATTAGTCTTTACTATAAATAGAAATGATAAATTAGCTAAGTTTAATAATAGGGGATAAGTTGAATAAGTTTCGTTGGTTATTATAGCTTTATTTCTTATTATTATCTGAGGTTTGTATTGAAACTCTAAGGCTTATATAAAGCCATTGTATTTCATTTTGTAATAACAAGAAGTTATCACACTTATTAATATTACTAAAGTTATTACTACTTCTTCATTTGGTATCAGAGCTCCATCACGGGGTCTGATATAGTGTGTAAACAAGAGTGTTTAAGAGGAAAAACACTAGAGTGACTGAAAGACGTGAAATGGCTGAATCGAGCAATTTCAACGCACCAAGTGTGTCTTAGTTTGATGGAGACTATGATCATGTGAGTTTGATCATGGAGAATTTACTTCGATCCAAGGAGTACTGGAGTGTTATTGAATCTGGAATAAAGGAATCAAAGGAGAATGAAGAGATAACTGTAGCACAACAAAAGGCATTGGATGAAGAAAAACTCAAAGATCTGAAAGCAAAGAACTATTTATTTCAGGTCATTGACAAATCCATCTTAAAAACTATTACCCATAAAGAAACAGCTAAACAACTGTGGGAATCCATGAAAGCCAAGTACAAAGGAAGCACTAGAGTAAAACGTGCGCAACTGCCAAGGCTTCGACGGATATTCGAAACCTTAGAGATGAAGACAGGTGAATCAGTGAATGATTATTTTGGAAGAGTGATGGAAATAGCAAATGACATGAGTAATTGCGGAGAGAATATGAACGATGTGAAAATAGTTGAGAAGGTACTTAGATCTTTGACAGAAAACTTCAACTTTGTGGTATGCTCAATTGAAGAGTCTAAGGACATTGATCTTCTAACTGTGGATGAGCTGTAAAGTTCACTACTTGTTTATGAACAAAAGGTAAGAGAGAAACGGAGTGAAGAACAAGTTCTGCAAGTTGAGTATGGCACGCGTCATGGACGTGGGAGAGGAAGAAGCAATTTCAAAGAGGAGGTAGCAGCTATGTTAGAGGACGGGGGAGAGCAAAATCATTTGTAAACAGGAGTGCTATTATATGCTATCGATGTCAAAAATAAGGATACTACCAATATGAATGTCCAAGTTTAGAAAAAGAAGCAAACTATGCTGAGTTTGACGAGGAAGATGAGTTACTCCTAATGGCTCATCCCGAAGTTCACGATATTAAAGACAAAGGGGTATGGTTTCTTGATTCTGGTTGCTCAAATCACATGACAGGAAATAAAAAGTGGTTTGTAGAACTAGATGAAAATTTTAGTTGTACTGTTAGATTGGGAAACAATTTAAGAATGTATGTGATGGGAAAAGGAAGTGTCAGGTTTGAAGTGGATGGAATCATTCTAACTGTGAGTGATGTTGACTTTGTACCTGACTTAACCAACAATTTGTTAAGTATATGACAACTTCAAGAAAGACGCCTGGTAATAATTATAAAAGAAAGTGCATGCAAAATTTATCATCCTCAAAGAGGAAAAATTGTAGACAACAACATGACTCTGAATCAGATGTTTGTAATTCATGCTACATTAAAACCGCTTCCACGAAAATGCTTAAAGGTTGAGGAGGAGAACTTGGAGAATCTATGGAATAGAAGGTACGAGCATGTAAATCATAATTTTATTGTTGCTATGTAGAAGAAACAAATGGTAAATGGCCTACCAAAATTCCAGGAAACTGCAGAGGTTTGTGAAGTGTGTAATATTGGCAAGCAACACCGAGACAAAATACTAAAGAAAAGTAATTGGAGAGCATCAAGAATTGATGCATGCAAATCTGTGGTCCAATCACTCCAATCTCTCATAGTGGTAAGAGATATTTGCTTGTGTTTGTAGATGACTACTCTCGCAAAACTTGGATTTATTTTCTTGTGGAAAAAGGTGAAATATTTGAGACATTCAAATGCTTAAAGAATCTGGTTGAGAAAGAAGCTCAGAAACATATATGTTGTTTACGAACAGACATGGGAGGAGAATTCACCTCAAACAAGTTCAATCAGTTCTGCCTAGAGAATGGAATTAAACGGCAATTAACAGCCGCTTTCACACCACAGCAAAATGGGATAGCCGAACGAAGAAATCAAACAATTATGAATATGGTGTGCTGCTTACTTACGGAGAAAGAGATGCCAAAGACCTTATGGGAAGATGCTGCAAAGTGGACAAATCATGTGATTAACAGAAGCCTTACCAAAGCAGGAAAGGAAATGGTACCAGAAGAAAGATGGAGTGGACTGAAATCTAGAGTTGACTATTTTAGGGTGTTTGGATCCATTGCACATGTGCATATACATGAGCAGAAGAGAACTAAACTTGACAATAGAAGTCATAAACGTATCCTAATTGGTGTGAGTGACGAATCAAAGGCTTACCGATTGTATGATCCAATGTTAAAGAAAATAACAGTAAGTAGGGATGTCATATTTGAAGAAGGAGAAAGATGGAATTGGAACTTAAATCCAGAAGAAGAAAAAGAAATTACTCTTGATTGGGGTAACGATGGTAGTGACATGGAGGATTCTGATGAAGAATCAGAAATAGAAATAGAGGTGAGTAATGCCAGAAATCAGGTGAGTAATATCGGAAGCCATGAGCATATATTATAAAATGTGGGACAACAACATGAAGAGCAACAACATAAGGAACGACCAATAAGAGAGAGAAGAGCACCTAATAGGGGGCAAAATTACGAAAGTAGTGAGGGTCTCTCTGAAGAAGAACAAGAGGTCGGAATGGTTTTATTCATGTCAAATGATGATCTCACAAATTATAAAGAAGCTATGAATGATGTAAAATGGATAGAAGCCATGAAACGTGAAATAGATGCCATCGAGAAGAATAAAACATGGGAGTTAGTGAATCTACCAACACAAGCTAAGAAAATTGGAGTGAAATGGATTTACAAAACCAAATTGAATGAAGAAGGCAAGGTTGATAAGTACAAAGCAAGACTCGTTGCAAAAGGGTATACTCAGACAGAAGGGGTGGACTATAATGAAGTATATGCTCCCGTTGTACGATGGGATACAATTCGAATTTTATTGGCTGTGGCAGCACAAAAAAGATGGAATGTGTACCAACTGGATGTGAAAAGTGCCTTCTTATATGGAGAATTGAAAGAAGAGGTATATGTGGATCAACCTGAGGGCTTCATTAAACACGAAGAGGAAGAAAATGTATATAGGCTGAACAAAGCCTTATATGGCCTAAAGCAGGCGCCAAGAACATGGTTTAGCAGAATCGATAGTTACTTCCAGCGAGAAGGAAAAGAGTAAACATGATCATACTTTATTCATTAAGAGAAGAGAGGAAAAAGTAATCATGGTAAGTATTTATGTTGATGACTTGATATATACTGGGAATAATGAAGAACTGTGTGCAATATTTAAGCAGTCCATGATGAAAGAGTTTGAAATCACGGACCTTGGTAAAATGAGATTCTTCCTTGGAGTTGAAGTAAGTCAAAATGAAAATGGAATTCACTTATGCCAAAAGAAATATGCAAGAGAAGTTTTGGAAAGATTCAATATGTGGAATTGTAACTCTGTCAAAAATCCAATAGTTCCTGGAACTGTGTTGTCAAAAAAGGTGGAAAAGATGTTGATTCAATTTTGTATAAGCAATTGGTAGGTAGTCTAATGTATCTTACAGCTACACACCCAGATATGATGTACGTAGTGTGTTTGATTTTACGTTACATGGCTAATCCAAAGGAGGAACACATGTTGATTGCTAAAAGAGCATTGAGGTACTTAAGAGGTACTTTGGAATTTGCCTTATTTTATAGAAGAAGGACTGCCTCAAATCTTTTGGCATATACTTACAGTGATTATGCACGAGATGATGATAGAAAGAGTATTTCAGGGTATGTGTTTCTATTAAGTGAGACAACGGTTTGTTGGAGCTCGAAGAAGCAAGCCATCCTTACCTTATCCTCTACTGAAGCTGAATATGTTGCGGCAATCTCATGTGCTTGTCATTGTGTTTGGATGATAAGGGTTCTTGAACAAATTAGAGATGAAAATTGTGAATGTATTGATATTCTTTGTGACAACAGTTCATCAATCAAGCTTTCTAAGAATCCAGTGATGCATCAGAGGACTAAACACATTGACGTCAGATATCATTATTTACGCGACCTTTCAAATCAGAGAGTGGTAAAGTTGGTTTTCTGTGGAACAAAAGAACAAATTGTAGACATTATGACAAAGCCATTGAAATTGGACTAGTTTGTGAAACTTTGGAGGCTATTCGGAGTACAACCACTTGAAAATTAAACTGTATGCTCAATGAGCATTTCAGTTTAAGGGGAGGAATTTGTTGGCGTATTTACTAAGAATTAGTCTTTACAAGAGTAATAGGGAATAAGTTGAATAAGTTTCATTGGTTATTATAGCTTTATTCTTTATTATTATCTGAGGTTTGTATTGAAACTGTAAGGCTTATATAAAGTCATTGTATTTCATTTTGTATAACAAGAGTTATCACACTTATTAATATTACTAAAGTTATTACTACTTCTTCACAACCTTCATTATACAGCTCATTTAGGTTCTCTCTTCTTCACTAAAAATCGTAGTAGCCTGCTTATTTTGCGTCCAACTTATTGTCTCATTGTCAGAAGTTATTTAATTGGCCAAGGCATCTATATCAAACTCAAGGCCATATAGGATTTTAGATTTGTCTTTTTACCTCTCAAAGTGAACCACTTTTAACTCAATGGATAATGTCCTTGGCCGCATTAGAGAAAATATTTGTCAAACTCAAAATTTATTAGTATTTGTCAACTTGTAAACTTTAAAAATAAAGTTATGTGAAAAAACTTATAAATGTTTTCAAATAGAGTATAATGCCAACTTGTAAACTTTAAAAATAAAGTTATGTGAAAAAACTTATAAATGTTTTCAAATAGAGTATAATGCCAATTACACAATGTTAATTCAACATTTGAATTTAATTTTCTCTTCTTTTTGACAGATAGGTGCATTTAATTTTCGTAGGTATAAGTATCTACCCCATTTTACGTTCCGTAGGCACAGGTATACTCGGTATCCAAGACGAGTACGAAAATATTTTTAGAAAAGCTTAAGGTATGGGTAAGTTAGTATATTTTTAAAATACACTTATAAAAATAACAAATGAGTTATATTGTTAAAATGACATTAAAACATCAAAATTAAATAGCAATTTGTTCAAAAAAGAGTTAGTATTTGCGTAATCTGCGTAATAACATAAAAAATTACACTTTAAAAGCATCAATAATTCATTGAATCATGACTGAATATGAATATATTCCTCTTCAACATCATTAAAAATAGTGGCCATATAAACAAAACCTACAAGGATAACACCTACAAATCATTGATTTAAGCAGAAAGATCATAAAGGAGCATCAAGCTCATGCATAAAACTATCGGTTTCCTATTTAGCTGAATGATAGGATGGGGAATAATGAAGAGTCTGATTGGTATATTCTACTATTGGATAATAACAAGGAAAATAATATACTGCTATATGCCAAACTTAATCTAGTATATATTGTGTATTATTTCATGCTAATTCAAGCTTTACTCGGGGAAAGAGATTTGCAGAGCCACCCAAATTCATAGATATGTTATATATTCCGGGCAAATATTAATTGCTGCTGAAAAACTAGATTAGTTATGGCCTCTAGTAGCTTAATAGTACAGATTTAATTTGCAGCTAGACAAAGCTTAATCGACCAATGTACCAACCTTCAGCAAACATATTTTGGGTTTTGGAATGACAACACAGTTGAAATTTCTGTACTCTATCTTCAGTAAAAATAAATTAAAAAAGATGTAGGAGGGTGTACCGGTGACTTTCTTGCAAATTATGCAATTGCTGCCTTAACACTGCTGCCTCCCTTTGCCAGAACTAGAAAATGAAAGAAACACAACATACATTCTAGTTAGATGTTAAGGTAAATGAATCACCAATATGAATACTTCTATCATAATAAGCATTAAATATAACACCTAGGGATTGTTTGGTTGGGAAATTGTTTTGAGCTTTCTAGATTGAATTTGTTTGGTTGGGAAATTGTTTTGAGCTTTCTAGATTGAATTTGTTTGGTTGGGAAATTGTTTTGAGCTTTCTAGGAATTTCAATCTAGAATTCTTAGATTGGCACGTCTGATATGAATGTCTTCAAACATATTCCAGAAGTTTAACAATGGGAATTGTTTGCTCAAAGGCAATAGAAGTTGAGCCTACGCCTTTGTAATGTTTCTATCCACCCATCTCCTCTTTGGTTGTTGCTCTTGTTCCTGCTTTTGTTTTATCATATGCTCTAGTTACTATAGACTACACTTTCATGTAGGGTGTTCACAGAACAGATTAGGTTCTTGCCTAAAACAAATATTCTCTTGCACAATATGTGATCCCTAAATATTTACTCAAGAAAAAGATAAACGTTTACTCAAGAAACTGGAAAAATGTGATAAGCCCACTCTAATAGAGGGTGACACTTTAGTGGGGACTTTAAACATGATAAGCCTAAGATTAGGAGAGTTAATGAAAAAAAGAAAAAAGATGGTTATGATGAAAAAAAGAAAAAGATGGTTATGGATGGCACTGCCATGGAGACCCATTTAGACAATTAGTTTGAAATTTCTCATTAATAACAGGGAAGTCAAGGTGTGTGTCATAGACAATTTCATTTTATGATTTGCATTAGGTAGAGAGAGAATTGTTTTTTTTTGTGGTGAAGAGCTCTCAGCTTCGGTATTGTAATAGGAATTTCATTCCATTTAATTAATAATAACACTCACAATTTCATTAATGTTCTCTTCTACTCTGCCTTATCAATTGATCTAATCTACCGTTGTTTATGCCCCGTGAATGGTGAATACAGTCGCCGGAAAGGAAGACCGTCTTGACAGTTTGGAGACTCGTAAGGAGACCATGCAGGAAACAATTTAGTTGAGACATGAAGGCTGTTGGAAACAAAACCACGATGCGAGAGAATTCTAGTTATTTCTTCTTTAGATATTTTGTCACGTTGATTACAAGAGTGAAACCTACTTCGACGTTAGATATTTCTTAAGGCATGCATATTCAACTCACCAAATCGAGTACGGAAGGTTAAACTATCCATTGGTTTAAGCCATCCATTGGTTTAATCTTTGGGGGGACTTAACGGAGTGTTTGTCATGGAAAAATCTTAAGGAGTTTTTGATAGTTTGTTTTGGTGCCACTCCTTGGATAAGGATTACAATTGTATCCATACTCAATGGATGATATCCGTAAAAATATTCATAATAGATAGGATAAAAATCCGTAAAATGGGTAAGGACACGAATAAGATAATTACCCATTAAAATAAGAGAGTATAAGTGCGGGTATAAATCTCTTAGTACTTATTTTGTATATACGCGGTGTATATTTATATATTTTAATTTATATCATTATATAATAAATGTATGTTTTAAAAAAAACATCACATATTTTAGTATAAGTGTTCAAAGTAAATTTTTTGAATTTTTTTGTTAATTTTATTAAAATTTAAAAAATATATGAATTTTTCAATTGATAAATTTATGAGAAAAGAGATGGTACATTAACAATGTAAGTTATTTTTATACTGTCAACTAATGAAAGCTATGTATCCCGTCAAGTTAGATCGTAAATTTTAAATTACTTGTATAATTTGACATTTTAAAATATTCTAAATGGATGTCTATGTAATATTTCCTTACATCAACTAATGAAAGCTATGTATGCTAAGCTGTCAAGTTAGACCGTGAATTTTAAATTACTTGTATAATTTGACACTTTAAAATTTCTGAATGGGATGTCTATGTAATATTTCTTTACATGGACAATGTATTATCATTAAACTCTAAATTTATTTTAACTAGAATTGCAGGTAATGGGGATAGGTACTTAAGTACCCATAGGTTACATATATGAGTATAAAATTTGGTGTCGCGTTGGTATAGACTCGGGTGTGAGAATTTTTTTGAACTACGGATATGGGGGACGTGTATTATAGTATCCTATTTAAATTCTATCAATTACATTCCTACACTTGGACAACCCGTACCATTTGAAGAACTCAATGAACTCAAACAATTTTGGGTTCATTGAAGATTACATATATGAATTCGAGCTTTACTCATTTCGGCGTGGTTGGTTTCTTGAGATGCAATTTTCGGGATATTTTTGTTAGGGGATTATACCTTGACATTCATTCCCTTGTTCGCACATTCAAGTCACAAAACTATTACCAAGTTGTGCAACTTGCACGTGATGTTTGAATCAAGGTTACTGATTAGAATAATTCGGGTCAGAATAACAAGTTACATGTCAAAGTTGAATACAATGCTTTTGGGTCTCATTCACCTAAGCCTTGGGTTCCTGAAAGTGATCCACATGGGCCAGCAAGTTCATTCAAATCAGGTTCAAATGGGACTTCGGGTCGAACTTGTTTTCAATGCTCGAGTTCACCAATCTAATCAATTCCACAAATCAAACGACCCTGTCAACCTTCAATTCAAAGGGCAACATCGACGAAGATCTTCACCGACCTCTAGCATATGGTGTTCGTTGCAATGAGCAATGGCACCTGCTTCACTTATGTGTCGGTACATCACTGACAGTAAGCCATGAAATAGAAATTTTAACATCACTGACAGTAAGCCGTGAAATAGAAATTTTAGCCTTTGGAAGGCCATTGTTGAAGAGGTTGCAGAGGTCTACGACCTTGAAGGCCAATAGATGAAAGGTGTTTGGCTATCTCATTTTAGATTTTCTAGAGCAAAGACTATGTGTGTAGAAGGGTTAATGTGAAGAGCTTTTGAGTCAACATTAATTTGATAGTGGCGCCACCCATAACTTCATCATCTGCGCCGTCATGAACGCTTTGGGTCTTCCCATATATCCTACAAAACTAGTAAGTGTGTGGTTGAGAGATGATCATAAAATCATGCCTTCGGATACTTGTGAGGCATGTTATTGACTACTGCTGACTTAAATATGACTCTCGATGCTCATATTTTAGAATTGGGTGGTGTGGATATGATTTTTGAGGGTTTTTGGCTAGAAACGTTGGGTAAGGTTACTGTTGATTGATCATCTTGGGCGCTCTATTTCCCTGCTAGGAAAATATAATTGTGATGCTTCAATTCCTCTTTGTAGTTTAGTGGCCAATACATTTCATTTTGTATCTTCGACAAGGTTGTAGGACTACTAGTGTAGAGCTTCCCACAGACTTGCAGCAACCTAGAAACGCACATTTGAACACATTTTTGGGATAGTTGCCACTGTTTTAAAGCAAATTCACAAGTTACCTTCTCTAGAAACCTTTCTCATTCTATTCCCTTATTGCATATGATTGGCACTGTCAGAGCGCGCCATTATATACCCTTATTACCAAGAAATCAAGATTGAATCTCAAGTTACAAATCTGATGCAGTAAGGGGTAATTAGAGATGTCGTAAGCTCTTTCACAAGTCCCGTGGTTTTAGTAAAAAAGAAAGATAACTTGTGCCAGATGTATTTATGGACTACATGGCCTTAAATAAGGTGACTGTTCAAGATAAGTACTCTATTTTGATGGTGGAAAAGTTATTGGATGAATATTTTGGTGCGCAACATTTTTCTAAAATCGACCTTAAATTTGAATATGACCAAATTCATACGAAGAAGGAAGATATCCATAAGATGACTTTTCATACTCATGAGGGTCACTATGAATATATGATAATGCCCAACTACTTCTCAATCGGTTATGAATGCTATTTTTAAGCCATTCTTATGCAAGTTTGTGCTAGTATTTTTTTATGATATAATTTCTAGCACAAACTTAAGCGCTCATTTGTAGCATTTACAGGTTGTTTTGTAATTATTACAACATCATGCTTTTGTGTCAAATCAGCTAAAAAGCGCTTTTGGACAACAAAGTATTAATACATAGGCCATTTGATTTCCAAAGAAGCGGTTGTAGTGATCCTAGCAAGGAGAGTAGTCTGACCAATTGGTCGATCCCAACCAATATAAAAGGCTCAATTGGTCGATCCCAACCAATATAAAAGGCGTTCCTTGTTCCTTGTTTCGTTAGGTTGACATGATATTATAGAAATTTTATTGCTAACTATGGGGGAATTGCAAAATAGTTTACAGAGTTAACAAAAAAAATGAGTTTCAATTTGGAGGATTGAAATGTTTTCAAGCAAGTGAAAGTGAAAGTCACTATTTCTCTGGTGTTGGCTCTCCCGAATTTCAACATTCTGTTTGAGATTAAGTGTGACTCTCTGGGCAAGGGTTTTTGAAAGCTTCTGACATTTGTCAGAGACAAAACTATGTTGTCACTATTTCTACTAGACTATTGCAGCCTCTTACATGATTAGGTTTCCATGGATCTTATCATAGTCTCGCCTAAGAGTAGAGGGTATGAGGTTATTAGGTTATTTTGGTGGTGGTAGATCACCTCTCCAAATGTAACCACTAATCGATCGGTGTTTAGAAGTTTGTCTCCATTTTTTATTGTTGATCACCCAAGTCTTGGTCTCATTGGTTGGCTTAGGCTGAGTTATGGTATAACCCCACTATCTACATGACTCACTCCGTTTGAGATTGTGTATAGGTGGAACCCATTGGATTTGGTGCAACATTTGGAAGGAGGGATAAGGGTGTAAACAGTGGCTCGAGAATTAAATGATAGAGATAAAATATTGTGTCAACTCAAGTATAATTTATTGAAGGCTTGGGAGCATATGAAGTTTTACACTGATCCGAAACGAAAAGATGTGAAATTTAAGGTGAGCGATTGAGTTTTCTTAAAACTAAAACTTTGATAGACAAAATTCAGCAGTGCAACACACCCATCAAAATTCATCTCCACGTTCTTTTGGTCCCTGCAAGATTGTTCAACATATAGGGCAAGTGTCGTAGCTACCAACAACTTCACGAGTTCATCCTCTTTTCCACGTGTTGTAATTGTAGAAAACGACAAGATCAAAATGTTACAGACCTACCTGCAGGTATGAGGGAGGATCTAGATGGCATTACTCATTATGCCAAGGTGATGTCATGACATGATATGTTCGAAGAGGGACAAACATATGAGATAATGTGTAGTGTAATGAAAATACATGGATGCAGCTTGATGCTACTTGGGAGTCTGAACTACAACTCAAAAGTCAATTTTCAAACTTTAACTTTGATGAGAAGGCTTCCTTTGAAGAAATGGGTAACGATAAGCCCACTCCAATAAATGATACCAATTTATTGGGCTTTAAACATGTTAAGTCCACTTTAATGGAGGATTTTAATTTATTGGGCTTTAAACATGATAAGCCCACCTTAATAGACGATGACATGTTATTGGGCTTTAAACATGATAAGCCCAAGATGTGGAAACTTTAAATATTTAATTATTAATTTTATGATTTTGAAATAGAAGAAAGTTTAGATATAATTTCATGTGTGATTTATACTATTTTTCAATAAAAATATGACAAATGTATTTAAGCATCTTTTATAGAGAAAATAGAAGAAATTTACATAAGTATAAGAAGAAATTATATACTTGTTATATTTTCATTGGAAAATAGTATATAAACCATATCTAAGAAATTGTATATAAGTTTTCTCTTTTGAAATATTAAATAGCATTTTTTATACTGATTTTAGTAATTTATTTAATATCTTTATTTTTATTTCATGTTGCACTACAAATTTGACCATATTAAAATGGATTAAAGTATTATTATCAAAAGAGTAGTTGTAGATTTTAACATAATAGAGAAGGTGTGTAATTTAATTATCTTTTAAGAGAAAAGAATGTAATTTTTCGTTTAATCATATTATAAGAAGGAAGTATCAGATAGATAATGAATTTCTTTTTAATCTTAAGCTGGATATCCCGTATGCAAGAGTCAAATATTGTTGAACCTTTAACAATTTACTTAAGGTGGCTGAATCACTTTATCATTCAGACCAGTTGCATTTACGACTACAATATGATCTATTGAATTGCAAATATTGGCATAAGATATTTATAAATACCTTAATTTCAGAGGCTGGACTCCCAAGTTGATTATGTTCTTCTTTTGATTTGTTGTATCGATCAATTACTGTTCTCATGCTGGAAAAATCATTGAAAATTATACTGCGTAAGATATGTGAGTTGTTGACTGTATATACATTCAATTCAATGAAAGAATTTAGAATCAGACATCAGACTACATATAGAACATACTTATATATCCAATAATAATCTGAAACTTGATACAAGAAGCTAGGTGGTAATTCAAAGATGCATCAATTGACTTATATATCAAAATCTTAAAAGGAGCAATTCAAAAATATATTATGTTATTTCAAAATTTATTTGCACTAATTTTGAAATTTATTATCGTCTTTTTCTGGAAAAGGGGAGTAAATGTGTTGTACATTTAAGCTAAGATGAAATGTTTACCTACGAATAAATATGCCCATATGCCAAATATTTGATTAATAGTAGAGATAGAACTAGTGAGTTAGTTATGGTGGTTACACCTAGTATGGAGTTAGTTAGGATGCTTAACAATCATGTAAGCTCCACTATATATAAATTAAGGAGGTTATGATGGTGAATACAATACTTATACGTGTAAGAGAATCTTATATAGTTCTCTCTCTCTCCTATAAAACCCCTTCTAAATTCTCCATTTAAATCCTTTTATGTTCTCTAGATAATATCACTCACAACTTCCAAAACTCTAGAAAGGTAACAATTTCACAATTTTTAGGGTTATTTTTAAGGTATTGGAAAACCAGTTTTTGAAGAATACTACCCTCGTACTGAAATTGAAATTGAAAGATATATATGGAGAGAATCATAGGGAAAGATATCAACGTGTATGTTCCTTTTTCAAGGGTGGTAGTGTTGGAAATCCACCAAAAGTTATGGAGATTTTCTATAAATCTTGATGAACAAGATTGTTATCACCACATAATGACAATGAAAAGAAAATAAAATTTAAAGAAGAAAAGAGATTATGGTTTCTACAGAGATTTTATCTTTACACACAAACTGTGGAAAATCTTTATTCACTTGTAACTGCAAATTCTGTGAATATTCTTTCTGAGTTGATTACAAAAATATGGGTTACTCCCTCTATTTATAATTGAGCTAGCTTACTTCCTAAGCCAAAACTCAAAACTACAAAAGTCCAAAATAACTATTTTAGATCTAGGTCGAAATACTGTGGGAAGCAACCTGCTTCGATATTTCAATATACACAATTCGACAATCAATTCGACATACACACACACTTAGGCTATTTCGACACACCTTGTGTCTAGCAACATGCTGCTTTCGACACAAGGAATTACACTTTAAACATACTATCTAATTCATTGTGTCTAAGCTATTTACATTCATCATAGCTCGTAGTCTTCTAAACATTTCAACTTGTACACCCTTTGTCATGATGTATGCAATATGATTCTCAGTTCTACAATGTTCCAAGTTCATCTTCCCATATGTTATTTTCCCTCGAAGATAGTGGAACCTCATTTCGAGGTGCTTACTTCGATCACGTGCTATCAGATTCTTTGCCAGGTTGATAGCTTACATGTGCCAATATGAAATGTTTACCTACGATGAAATGTTGCACATTTAAGCTACAATGAAATGTTTACCTATGAATAAATGTGCCCATATGCCAAATATTTGATTAATAGTAGAGACAGAACTAGTGAGTTAGTTATGGTGGTTACACATAGTATGAAGTTAGTTAGGATGCTTAACAATCATGTAAGCTCCACTATATATATACTACTACAGTAGTTTAAGAAGGTTGTGATGGTGAATATAATACTCACACGTGTAAGAGAATCTTACATCTGATGTTCCCTCCCACATGTAAACTATGTTTAGACCGAGGACAATTATCTTTTGAGTTTTGGTGTTCCAAGGAAACTCAATTTCATTGTAAACCATATCTTTAGAGACATAGATTTTACCTTCAGGGTTTAGGAATTTGTGGATCTTATCAGTAGGTGATACACCTAGATATGTGTATTTGAGGCTTATGAACTCTAGCTTGTTCTTGTTATACGGTCTAACATGATGGAAAATGAGTTGCCAAACACCTTGAGTAAGGTGTAATAAATTTTATTATTGTGTAGAGACTTTTATGGTGAGCCAAAGTTTGATAATACACTTGTTGGAAGTCTGTTTATCATGAACACTATATTGGTACATTGGTGAAGCTATGATCCCAAAACCTGATAGGCATTAATGCATGTGCAAAAAGAGTGAGACCCATTCCCATAAATTTTCTATGTTTCTTTTTCCACAATGCCATTTTGATGAGATGTGTTAGGACATGTCAGTTTGTGTATGATGCCTTGATCACTAAGCAACTTGGTGAAGGGTCTGAATTCACCACCATAATCAGATTGAACTACGTTGATCTTGGTGTTGAATTGTGTTGTGACATAATTCTGAAACATCTTGAAAGCAATTAAAGCATCACTTTTGTTTTTGAGCATATAAATCTATGTGTACCTAAAGAAAGCATCTACAAATGCAATGTAATAGGAGTAGACATTGCTGGATGGTGTAGGAGATGGCCCCATAAATCAGTATGCACAAGTTCAAATAAAGAGTTAACTTAATATTGGACATACGGGCATATAATCTATGAGATTTACCAAGACAACAATAATTGCAAAAAATTTATGGCTCTTTATTAATATTGCAAGAAATTTCACCCAACTGTAGAATTTATGTTAGTTATAGAATTAACATGGCCTAGCCTAGAATGCCAAATAAATATTTTATTATCAAGTAAAGAACTAGAATTTGACACTATAGTATTATGCACTTCAGGGCCTAAGATAGAAGGCTTGTGGTCCAAGATATGTGTTGAAGTTCCTAATAGAAAATTATTGAAGCAATAGAGGCCACTTGCATTTAGGAATTCTTCAAGAAGCACTTGCTTAGATCCATGAGATTTGATAAAATGGTTGTTAGCATGGAATTTAAAATAGACTTATTGTGCTTAGCTAGCTTATATACATAAATGAAGTTTCTGGTTATATTTGGTACATGTAGCACATCAGATAACCTAAGCATGGAGTTGGACATAAAATTTGAATGCATTTGTGAATGACCAATGGTTTCAACTGCTAGTCTGTTCATTTCTTACTACCACTTTATTAAGACCAACATATGACTCTATAACATGCAAATTAGATGGATTGGATGTCATATGATGTGAGGCACCTAAGTCTGTAAACCATACTTGTGAATTAAGATTTGGTGGAATATGCAATTGGTCTTGATGTACAAGATATGTTGTGGTTTAAGTAGATGTGTTCTCTTGACTTTTGGCTCCATCTTGAGTAACATTCATTATGTTTGAAGTGGATGCTTGAGAATGGTTCTTGTGTGGTATTGGCTCATAATATTCATCAATCATGTGCCAACATTCAATCACTGAGTGACCATATTTGTTGTAGAGTTGACATGTGAGGCGATTTCCAGGTGTGTAAGCTTGAGTTTGGCGCCCACAACCTCTAGCTTTAAAATTGCTTGCCTTGACCACGAGCATCATGATTGGAACTAGTTGAGTTAGCACCTCTGCCAGTACTAACTCCTTGAGCTATGTTAGTTGTGGCACTAGGTGATGCTAATTCTTGTTTGAACTTATCCAAATGAGCCTCTTGCATATATTGTAATGCTTCAACATTATATATGCACAATAGTTTAGTTTTGCTATACGTCATAATGATGAAAGATTTATACTCCTCTGTCATGCCTTCATTTGGGAATTAAAGTGTTTGTGAACTTTATCCCACACTTCATGAGCATGTTTACACGCAAGAACTCGTGGAAGAACCAACTTAGAAACGACAGAGAGTAGCCATGTAAACAGGGCTTGATCTTGCATGATCCAAGATTCATACTCTTCGGATATAACATTTGTGATATGATGTTGTTTATTCTTGAACATTGGTGGAATTTGAGGGTTAACCACCACTCTGTGGAGTTTGTGAGAGAGTATCACCCCTTATACCTGCTGACCCCATAGAAGAAAGTTGGATTCTTGAAACTTGATTGATAGCTTTGGTGCAAAAGTGTTTGTTGAGCTGGAGAATCCAACGACACTAGAAACAGTTTGAGAGTTTTGAACATGTGGTTGCACTCTCATAGATGTATTGATGTTTTCCATAGAGGTTGCTTTGCAGCTTGAGTTGCTCTGTAACTACTTGAACAAGAAGCAATGCTTCTTTGAAGCGACCTGGTCTCAACATCGAGTTGAAGACGATGGTGATGATGATGATAATGCAACGAAATAAACGATCCCCTTAGGCATATGATACCATGTGTGAATTATACACGTTCATGAGAGAGAGAGAGAGATTATTCCATTTAAGATCTTGAATATTAGTATTCGACTAATTTGCTTCAGTAAGAAGAATTATTGTTTTAGATCTGTGTTTGCTAAAGAATTGTGTTGCTAGTATTTAGTTTTATAATAATTCGTTGTATCAAAATACTTATACCTTTAACTTTTAACATAGTGGAAGATGTTACCATTTCTGATGATTAACTTCATCAAAGACTAGAGTAGGCATAGCGAGGACAAATTGTCTATTTCATATATAATTATATCTTGGTTAAAATGTTTTATCATATAAGTATATGCCTGTGATGAATTTTATTTTATGATTACGTGTCTCTTAAATCAAGAGTTTATTGACTCTAAGTTTATGGATTTAAATTGTTTGTTAAAGTAACTTCAAGTGTACTTGAGTTAATGATTTTGTTTGATCTTTTGTTTCTATGGTAATGACGAAACATATGATATGAAATTCATTTACCATGGTTTGATTTCGCTCATTATCTTTTGCTTCCATGTCTTAACTCTGATTTTGTAAAAAGAAATCATTTTTGAATTCGATTATTTTTAAGGATCGGTCTATTTAACTCCCCCTTCTAGACCTTATTGTATCTACATTCTCACCAGACAATTGGCCTCCGAGCTAGTCTTTTGTGTAACGTCCATAATTTAATTAATTGTTTAATTAAATTATTGTTGGAATAATTGATGTGTGGTGATTAGTTGGATTTAATTATTTTATTAAGTC